TCAGTATAGGCTGCTTAATGTGTTGGTGTCATCTTTAGACAAGTTTCTAAGATGAAAAGTTTGGGTCTTTTTATTATATCACAAGGGACAAAAACAGAAGTTCGGGGTTGACTATTGATCTGATCATGTCTGCTAGCAGTCTTAACTGGTGAACTGGTAAAACATCATTCAAAGGAAGTTTGTATTCAGAATCATCATCATTGTCAGCTTTGTCAGGGGGGTTGCTGTTAATTAGCTCTTCAACTTCGGGACTATTTGTAACCGTAGTAATACTTCTCTGTTACTTCAATTTCTGACACCGCAACGCCTCTAAGCCTCTAAGCGCTTTTGACAACGCTGAAGTTTTGATGCTAACACTTTACTAACAGGTTTGTTAACACTTTACTAACAGCTTTGTCAGGGGGGTTGCTGTTAATTAGCTCTTCAACTTTGGGACTATTTGTAACCGTAGTAATACTTCTCTGTTACTTCAATTTCTGACACCGCAATGCCTCTAAGCGCTTTTGACAACGCTGAAGTTTTGTTGCTAACACTTTGTCATGAGAACTAAAACTTGCCGCTAGATTGGTTTTCATCAACTATAAAATGACAAGTCTTCTGGATTTTTAGTTGTTCAGCGTTCTGAGGCCACAGTTGAAATGTCTTTGCTAAGATATCCTTCATCTACAGGACCTTTTTTTTCATTGAAGCTGGTGTTGACCTGTGTGCATATGGTATTGCTTTAATTTTGTCATTGTCATCAAGCAGCTTTAACATCTTCTTGCATGTTTATGATCACTGATCATAGGAATGTTTGCTTTCTTATAGAAAACTGTAATTTTTGCCAGCACCAGCTTGGCCGAATCCCACCAAGTACGGTTTTTGCATGTACCACCATCATTAAGATGATACTGATACATCACAACGCTTGCTAATTTGTTGGAAGTCGTGCTCCAGTTATTTACGCGTCTTCTGCCATGATCTTTGTGCAAAGACTAAATATCACAGATGACTTCCTTGTACTTTTCTTAGCAGAAGTTTTTGGAAGTTCCAATTGTATATCATCAGCAACAGTATCAGAAACATGTGCAGATGTAGCAGTCGCTTGTTGGTCCAAGTTATCCATTTTCAATACATTAATCTGAAAATGATAATACAGTTATTACTGAGCATCTACAACAAGCATCCTATGTTAAACAATATAGAAAACTATTATACATTCCTTCCCGGTCTAAATTAATTGATTCAAAAGATTGCATATGTCATCATTTGTATACAGTATACAATAACCTCAAAGCTCGTTTTCTTTGAAATGGAGGTGAGATACCTAAATATATTCTGACTTTTTAAATATTTGCACAGAGTTATATTGATGATGAAAGGAACATTTTAAATCTAGGGACAAGACATTCTGAAAAAAAAGGGCAAAATGATGCACCCTAATGTAAGGGAGAACCTTAATGAATGGAAAAGTTTTTGTGAAATACTCTCTTTTTAAGTTGATAAAGTTGTTTAAGTTATATACAGTTAAAACAGTTTGATAACAATTAACTCTTGCACTATGATGTACTAAAACAAAGAAATCAGCTCCGCATATACATATTTGTAAAAAGATTGATTTATTGGACCAGGGCATTTGTCCTATTTATTATTAAGAACTACTTATTGAATGGGACAAAAAAAATATTGAATGGGACAAATATGAAAGATTAAAAAATGAAAAAAATATGAAAGATTAAAAAATGAAAAAATTTCAAGTAAGTTGAGCATTGAAGGTTGTTTCTACCACTAGGGATGCCCAAAAGGCTATGCAAATTGTATAAATGTTTGCAACAGGAGCGCTTTTTATTTTATAGAGACATAAATATGTCTGCATATTGACAAACTTAACAATTTTTTATTTTAAAAAACAAACAACAACAAAGCAACTTATTAGTTATAAAAAATTTAAACATTTATATGTATTTTCAAAATACTAAGTAGTAAAAATTAAGTATATTAAAAGAAGTGTAAAAGAAATTAACAGTTAACTTCACATTCATAGTTCACTCTCATAGTAAGGCTTCTTGCTGTTGCTATTACAATGACCACATTGATCCACCATTGACAGGTGAAACACTGAATCCAAGCAGACTCAACAAAATTTTTCCAATTGCATTTGCATATTTTGCAAGTATTTTGTTGTTGTTGGTTGATGAGGGCATTTTTTACAGATGACACAATTAAAAAATTCTACATAATTTTTTATTTCTTTTACTTCTCTGAAGTCAATTTTTCTTTTTTGTTTTTTTTCGTGTTATGTCTTTTCTGGAGTTTTAGTTAATATAGTGCCCTGTTATCTTCTTTTTCTATTACCTTTTCTGGGAGGTGTTTTAGGGTACAGATGAATGGTTTCCAGACTAACTATTTTGAATGATGATTCCAAAGAATTAGCTGTTTTTTTTTGTATAAATGTTGATTATCTGGTTGTTGAATTTCTGACTATCTTATTGATCCCACATTTTTGAAACCCACTGCAAACATTTTTTATTGTGAATAACATATTATATGCTGTGCATACTAGTTAAAGCTAATTATAAATATTCATAATCCTCCCTAGATTGGAAGCCAACCATTCATTCTGAGCCAAATCTAAAGTAAGATTTAAAAACACTGAAATATCTAATGGCTGCAATCTATGACTGCAGTGTGGTGGAAATGTTAACAAAATCAAAAAACTCTTTTATTCAAATCTTATTAATTCAAATGTAATTTGGCTTTCATGGTTCTCCATTAATAACAGTACTGGATGATTCACAAATGGCTTAGCATGGGATACAAAATGCTTTGTTGCAAATGAAAAGTTGTCACTTGTCATCCAACCACTTTTGTTACACAACCCTAAGTTTCCTGTTAGTGCTCCACTTAACATAAAATCCTTGTAGTTTACTCAGGGAAATATAAATATAGGTGGAATTGTAATACTCATAGCATTCACAAAAGCCAACATTGTCACCAAGGAGCCTCTTTCTGCTGAAATAGCTTGACAAACTTGTTTAGCTTATTGAGTTGAAATAATTTTTGAGGGTCTGTAACTGCTAATAGCCCTGTCTCATCTACATTAAAAATATATTCAGGTTTGAATTTATAATTGAATTGAACTTCTAACAAATTATTAAAAAGTATGGACACAGTATATTCATTAAAGACAGTTGCACGACTAAGGCTAACTTTTTCTGGTTTTCATAGTGATAATTTTTGATGACACATCAAAAAACTGTTCATCTAAATTTGTTTTCCTGCCTTCAAGAGCACTTTCGTGAAACATTTCTCTATTTTCTATGTTTGCGATGTATTTAAAGTTTTCTGGCAGCTTTAGAGATCTTGCTATTTTTACAGCTCTACCTACTGTAGATTTTGATAAATTATATTTTTTAGATGCATCTTGAATCAACATATCAACACTTTTTTTTTAGATGCATCTTGAATCAATAATCAACACTTTCGATTGCATTTTCAACATTTAAAGAGTTTTTCAAATTAATTTTGTCTTTGGTTTCATCTTAACAAATTTAAAAACTTTATAAAAATCAAATAATTGCAAATGTCACAGAATATTTGTATTACATGATCAAACTATGTTCACATTTGTGTAAGTATCTAGTGTGTATAAGTACAAAACACAAAACACAAAACTAAATATCAAAATAAACTAATTCCTTAAATATATAAAAGTATATAAGTATATTAAGTTACTACAGACTTTAACTCTAACTAGATGTATATTATATGATGCAATAAAAATCCAAAGAGTCACAATAGTTTGTTAAAATGGTTTATTAAAATATTTTTAAAGTACAGCGTTGTTGTCTTTTTATTATTATTTTTTTGAGAACCCTCAATATCTTGTAATATGTGTATAATAATAATGTAAATAAAAACTGGAGTTTTATTCCTTTTCTTTATATCTAATTAAATATTTATAAATATCCAATTAAATAAAAAAATCTTCTTTAACAAATTATTGATGGACTCGACTTAAAAGAAAATGAAAAAATGTTTTTTAAATTACTTAAAATTCAACTTTAAAAGTTGTTATTAAAATAAAAATATATTGATTAATTACTTTTAACTTTGAAACAAAAATTTAAATTTTAACTAAAGCATTGGCCACACTTGTTTAACTGCAATTTAATTTTACCGTTAAATAAAATAAAAAATATGTGACCTTAACTAAGTTGCCGAATTTTTTTTTTTTGCTTTTTTCTTAACAGTTTGTTGGAACAAGTGCCATTTAATAATCATTACTTTGTCCCATTCAATAAGCTAAGAACAGTATTATTTTAATGTGAATAGTTTAAAATTTAAGACAACTGTTTATTTAAAAATGGAGTATAATTTTCCATAACTTCAGTAATCACTGCAAAATCAAAAAAGCAAAATTGTTTTTTAAAATTAATTTTTGTTTTTCAAAACAAAATATCATCTAATGCCATTATACTAAGACCATAATAGGAATGACGATTCAATCTAATGAATGGCTGTATATAACACTTTTTACCACAGGAGTTTGAATATCTAGCTGTAGGTGCTTCTATGAGAATTGGATTTTGTCCCATTAAATAGTTGTCTCATTTATTAAGGTTCTCCCTTATGTATATAATTGAAAAGCAGTAGTTTTCAGAATTTTTTTTTGTCAGTTTTTGAGCCTTAATAATTATAATTACAAATAACAAGTGCAGTGGACACAAATGCATTGAAAGATTTGTTGTATAGTTTTAGTTTATGTTAGAATTTAGAAAATCAACTAGAATGTTTTAAGATTTGTTTTAAAAACTTCCAGTAGGTAACTATTTACTTTGATTTAAGTTTTAATCACAGCTAACATCTGCTCCCATACTAATAACGAAAAGTAAGTTTAATATAAATTGTTTATTTACAATAATTTTATAAAATTAAAATAATATTTAATTTAAGAATCACTGTGACCAGTTATTAATGATTAACAGAAACAAAAATTATTTGAACATTTTATTGATTAGGAACTATTGCAAACTTCTGTTTCTGGTGAGGAATTGACCAAGGAAGATGCTTTGACAACTAGGGTAATCTTATTAGTTTTTTTTAATGTTATTGTTTTTAAGGACTTATAGTTTTGGAATTGAAAATGTAGCTTAAATTGAAATTAGTCATTAAATTCTTATTTATAAAAATTCCAAAATTTCTTTATATATTTATGAATAAAAGTATATATTATAGTTGTTAAAAAATTTTTTTAAATATGCTAAACTTCAATATTTGTTTTGATTGTTTAAGGAATTATTGTTTTTCTTTATGGTATTATATTATGTATATTTGGTTGAATGTCTAATGATGTTAATTGTCTAATGATGTTAAACTGATTCTAGAAGAAAAATGTTTTATGCTAGGCATTAACAAGAGGCTGGTCAGAGTGTCAGTGTGACAAATAGTGCAAGATAAGAGATTGGGTCAATAAATATGAGTTCTATGTAGAGGAAAATTAGCAAGGTTGCTAAAGTAGGATATGGCTAGATGCAGACAGCATATGTTTAGCCTTATCCTTACTTAACAAGTAGGATAAGGCTATAGAAATATTATCTATATTAAGCCTAGACATGTCTGCATAAGACTCGCTAGAAAGATAGTAGAGCTAAAATTATCAGGTGTAATTATTGTTCATATTCTTCTAGGTTAAATGCAGAGAAAGAGCATCAGGTGGTATTATTTTATGCAGCCAAAATGAAGATAAATAATGTAGTTGATAAGACAATGAGTAAGAGAGTAATGATTTTATGACAAATGAGTAAGAGAGTAATGATTTTAAGACTATTGCTCAGTGTCTGATGTATATGCATCTCAAACAAAAAGTGTCTGATGTTCAGTATATGCATCTCAAACAAAAAGTGTCTGATGTTCAGTATATGCGTCTCAAACAAATAAAAGAAGAGAAGAAAAAGAAAAATTTTGTATTGTTCTTAGAAATGTTTTGAAAAATGTCAGAAAAATCAGAGGCTAATTGTATGTATGTAAAGACATAAATAGATATGTTGGTATTGCCACAGGTGGTTATAAGGGAGTACATTGTGGAAATGGGTTTGACCTAATAAATGTTGAAAAAGAAATGTTTTTTTAATATTTATTTGTTATTAAATTTACATTAGCTCATGGTTTATAAAAAAAACTCTACTGAAACTTATTTTTTAAGTTAAGTATCTTCAAGACACAAGTGGATTACGATTTAATTAAAAATGTGGGCAAGTAACACAAGAGTAATACAAAGTGAAGCTTGTGTTACACAGTAAAAATTATTTATATGTGACAATAAATTGGCAAAAAATTTGGGGAAAAAAATTTAATTTTTTTAGTATGTGCAGAATTTGGAATTTAAAAGATGATGAAGTATGTTAAAAGTTCAAACAAGAATACAATTTTAGTCACAAAAAAAAACTATAGCAAATTTTTGAAAAAACACAAAGTAAAGCTTTTTATAACTATTTAATGAAGTATGTGATCAAAAATCTTCATAGACAAGAAATCTTAGTGATAAAATGCAGAACTGCATAAAATTTTAGAAGAAAAAAGGAAACAAATTTTTTAAAATTTAAAAAAAGTCTGCAAATGAAGTAGAGAAGTTTTTGTGTTGCATGGCTAAGCATTGCAAGACTTGGCTATGAGGTAGGTAAAGCTAGCTTAGTAAACAAATCTCAATTGTATTGAGAGAAAGTATTTGTGTTTAAAGGGTAAGAAAAAATGCATTCAAAAAATTTATAGAAAAAATTATTAGAGTTAATAAGGATGTTGTTGGAGAAACAAAGGCAAGAAGTTTGTATAAGCGAAAAGTTTTTATTAAAAAGCTAGATTAGAAGTAAAATCAAATCATTTTGCAAAATTGTAAAAGAAAGAGTTTTTCAAATACATAAATGATGATATCAGCAATATATACTAAAATATTGGTATTTGATAAAGAAATGAATACTTAAATACCTAAATTCTAAATAGTACATTAAAAAAAATAACATCTTAGCAATAGTTATGACTTATAGCAGTGATATCTTAAAATAAATTTAGATAAAGTTTTCTTAACAATTAAAATTGTTATTTTATTTTAATGTTTGAATTATGTTTTTTATTATAATTTTTTAAGGAGTCTGGATTTCACTTTAAACCTGATGTTTTAATATTCAGTGATTTTGAAGTTGGAAAATCATATAGTAAAAAGGTTTTACTTACAAATATATCATATACAAAAAACTATTGTCAGTTTGTTGGAGTTAGTGAAACACTGATTGATTTTATTGAAGTCAAGTTAGTTTTTTATTTGTTCCTTTATGTTTTCATAAATAATATTCTAACGATGATGATGATTGATGGTGATAATGATGACAATGATTATAAACAAACAATTTACTATATTTGACTGTAACTTTTATTTATTTATGCATTAGATTTATCCCGGTAGGTCCAATGTCACCAGGTTTAACTTGTGATCTGACTGTCACTTTTAATCCTATGGTATGCTTTCTGTTTTAAATGTTATATATATATATATATACATATATATATATATATATATATATATATATATATATATATATATATATATATATATATATATATATATATATATATATAACATGTTTTAAATATTATGTATATATATATATATAATAATAATAATAATAATAATAATAATAATAATAATAATAATAATAATAATAATTCATTTGTGCTATAGTGTTTAGTCTAATGAATTAGTAAAAATTAAAAAACTGTTAATTATTTTCAAAACCTAAAATTAATAAAAAGTGAGAAAAAAAAAGTTTATTTTGATAATATAAAAATTTTTGTATTTTGATGAATTAAAAGAAACTCCTTTTTTTGTTTAATATCAACAAATTTAATTATTTTTTGTTTAAAATAAATGTTCATTTATTTAAAGCAAAAAAAAGATATAATAATAAAATAAAATATAATAAAAAGGTATACTGATTAAAAAAACATTGTTAAAATGTTAACAATCAATTTTCTATTCCAGTTATTTTTTGTTCAAAAAGTTTTACAAACCTTTTTAACCTTTAGTTATAACCTTTAATAAAAATAATCTTTATTTGTTGCATCAGAAGATTTCATAATTTTTATATAATTTATAAAAATCAAGATTTTGTCTATCTTTTCTTTTTCTATTTTTTTTTTCAAAAACAAAAAGATGAGGCAAAAAATGTTTAAAAGTTGAGCATGTTAAGCAGTTTTTTTTACTTTTAATGGAACTTGCATTTTACATAAAATACGGAATAACCAATGTAATAAAATTAAGCATGGCCGTTTGGCGGTCCGTTAAAAACCGTTAATTTTTGTTGCGTTAAAAAAACTTAACAAAATTTCCGTTAATATCCGTTAGGTTAAAATTTAATAACTGTAATTTTCTGTTAACGGACATTAATTTATTTTAATGGACGTTAAACTCTGTTAACAGGCGTTATTTAAGTCAACTTATTAAAATTTATCAGCTAGAAACACTTTTTTTTTTTAATAAAAAAACTTATTTAAATTTAAGTTATACATTTTAAACTCAAGTTATAAATTTAACAAATGTACAAAAATTTTTCATTTAAGCTGTAAAGTAATATTTTTATAAATTTATATTAATACATTTATAAAATAATCTTTTGAAAAAAGTATTATAAAATTTTTGCAAAAAATTTCATTTAAATTAATTAATTTTATAAAACCTTTAGTTCGATAGAACTGTATATTTCTGTGTTTTTGCTCCTTGTCATTTATTCAATTGAACGTCGATTAAATGAAACTTTTTTTGAAACAACTTAAACAAATTTTTTTAAATATAAAACTAATGAAATTAACGGAAATTAACAGAATCAACAGAAGCTAACAAAATAATAAAATTATTGCTAACTAAGAATTTATATGTTTCAGAGAGTTTTTTTTCAGTGTGTTTGCATTTAAAGGTATTTTTATAATTGTTTGGATAAAAACTTGATAAGTATAATTTAGATAAGTTGGAATAAAAATCAAAATGACATTTAGCATTAAATTACATACAACTAATTTGTATTTGAAAAAGAATTAAGTTTATATTTGAAAAAGTCAAACTTGATAATTACTTAAAAAATAGTTTAAACAAGTATATTTTCTACATTAGTATAAAGGTAAAGGTCAAGGTTTATATCATGTAAAACATGAAGTTAAAAAGTTTAAAACTTAATTTTGGTTCTGAAAAAAGTTCAATTTATTAAAGATTTTTATTACAATAACCATTATTGCTTTGAACTAAATTTGCTAATTTTAAGTTATAACATTGTTGCTAGAATTTTCAGTTAATCTGTAATTTTTATTATCATTACTTTGGAAGCAATTCAAAATGTTCTGGAATAATAAAATGTATATTTTTTGTTAATATATTAGATAAATGAGTGTTTGGATGGCTTCATTGAAATGAAATCCAGCTCAAGCATTTTTAAGATTTTTGTAAAATGTTTTATAAAGTGTTTCAAGGTATATTTATTTTGTTTGTTGGTGTATGTAGAGTCTAGTTTAAAATTAAATTATTAAAACATGTTAATGATATACAACTTTATAATAATGATATACAACCTTAATCGTATATAAATGATATACAATTGCGTAAATGATATACAATTGCGTATATATAAATGATATACAATTGATATACAAACTATATATACTTTATGTAAATGATATACAACTTTATGTAAATGATATACAACCTTATAGAGCTGCAGGGTACAAGATCTTTTAACTATTTCAAGTTTTAAAAAATTATTTTTAGCCATACGTGACACATAGCAAAATTGAATTTAAAAATGTTATTGTTGGAGAAGTGCAAAAAAAGTCAATAACCCTAAAAAACCAAGGCGCTTTACCAGCAGAGTATCAGTTTTTCAATGTTAATAAAGGTTCTAATTTTTACCTTTGTTTATTATTCTTTTAACACTTTTAACTTACATATTTAAACTAAAAAATATTTTTTTAATGTTTACATTTTAACTAAAAAACATATTTTTATATTTTATTGTTCCTTAATACTATTCTCCTGATAATAATAGCATTGGAAAAAGTTCAAAGCAATTTTTTTTATATGGCTTTGAAGAACAGGGCTAAGTATTTTTATTGTGAAGCTATTACAAGATTACCACCCTTTATAAGTTCTATTTCTGCATCCTATTTTTTTTGTTTTTCTCAGGCATCTTAATGTTATGTTTTAACACATCTTTTTTTTTAATTTCTATAATTTTATTTCACACTACTTTTTATATTATTTAATTACCATTTATAAGGTGAGACAAATAATATCTATAAGTTAAAGCTATTACCATCTATAAGATAACATAGTCACTAACTATAAGATAAGACAATCGTCATCTATAAGATAAGACAATCGCCATCTACAAAATAAGACAATCATCATCTATAAGATAAGACAATCACTATCTATAAGATGACAGTTGCCATTTATAAGATCACCATCTATAAGATAAGAAGTCACCATCTGTAAGTTAAAATAGTCACTACCTATAAAACACTAACTATAAACTTATGAATTAGAATGGTAATTTAGTTTTCATGGTTATTTCATTTTAAAAAGTTTTTTTTTTTAACTTTAGATACGACTTTGAGCCTGTTTAATTTTTAAAAGTTGTAATTTTAATTTTTAAATTTAATTTTTTTTTTTTTGTATGTGTTTAATATTTCATTAATAATTTTTTTTTTTTACTCCTTTTGGTTTTGTTTTAGTCTATAGTTTTAAGTTTTTATAGTCTTTAATGTTTTTTGTACAAAAATATTTCAGTTTAAAGTTTTTAAAATTTTGAGTTGTGAAATGTCCTCTTATTCCTGTTTAAAAAATATCTTGTTTTTTTTTTCTTATTTTTCTATTACAAATTTATTATCTTTAATATGGTATGTATTTTTTCTTTCTTGATGTATTATAATATGAAATTATATATATTTGTAGTAAATATTAAAAAAAAATCTATTTTTAGAGGAGAAGAGCTGTTTTATAACCGGAAAAGTATGATTTTAAAAAAGAATTTGAATATTTAATAATAATTATTAAATTCACCCAAATTGAAAATTAAATATGGAAACTAGAAAAACGTTTTTTTTTTTTTTTTTTTTTGTTAAAAAATAAAAATATGAAAAGTTTAGAGTTATAATGGAGTTAATTGAATTGGATTAAAATTAAATTTAGAATTATAATGGAGTTCTTCAAGCTTTTGGATCTGTTCAGTTGGAAATAGCATTTTCACCAAAATTTACCGGAGTAATGGAGACTGATTACAAAATTATATTTTTAAATGAAACCTTTGATCCTATAGTAATCCATGTTAGTGGTTTAGCTGTTGATTTTCCATTATTTGTAGAAAAGGAGGTAATTTCTTTTTTTTTTTTTTTAATCATAAATGTTATTAATTTCTTTTGTAAATTATTTTATACAAGTTGCATTTTGTTAGATAAAATATATTTAGCCAATGTAGCGGCACTCCCTTGTAGCTGCAGGTTATAAGATAATCAATGTAGCAACACTCTGTGCATGTTATACAATAACAAAATAAAAATAAAACATTCAGAATGTTTTTATTTTTAAAAAAATTAAATAAAAACATTCAGAAATGTTTTAAAAACATTTGTTTGAGGAGGTGTTTTTAAAAACATTCACATGTTTGTTTAAATAACCAATCATTAAATAACTAAAAAAATAGTATAAAAATTTATTAAAAAAATTTTTTGAGATAAAATAGAAACATTTTTAAAAATGCTTGTTTTTCTGCCTTTTTATCGCTAAAAAAACAAATATCATCCCTGAATAAAGAAGCAACAAAATATCATAAATTATCATCAAAAAATAATAATTTAAATTACTAGAAAAATTCTCAGCTTTGTTTGTCAAGTTTTTTGTTTAAGAGTTGAAAAAAGGTTGTAACCATAACTAAAGTAGCCTCTTTGACTGTAGTGTCCTTCATGCTATTGGGGAGGTGAATTAAAATGAATTTTCACCTCCGTTAAATTTCAGTGAAGCTATAAAAGTATTATATACAGAATATTAAATAATGACGTATTGGTTGATGAATTATATCAGTAATACTGATAGGAGTTAAAATTTACTTAAGTGAAATGCTTAATGTTTTTTTTTATGGAAAAAGTTGATAAAACATGACTTATTTTATAAAAAAAGGAGTTTAAACCAAAAAAACCATGTTTTTTTTTGTTTTGTTTTTTAAAAAAAAACCCATGGTTTTTGTTTTTTTTATTAGAAAAAAATGTTTTTCTTTTCGACCCTGGTCTAAAGGTATTGATACTTGATTTGTAAAATTTTTACATCACGTGGTAGTAATTTTGTTTAGTGTCCTCAGAATCAATAGATTTTTTGCCTGATTTGGCTATGTTAATGATATAGCAAGGAAGATAATATGAACTTCATTGATAAATGCTTTTCCATGGTGCTCGATGAAAATATCATTAGAGCTTTTTAGAGCATCTTAACCTGAAAATATAAAAGTTGGTTAAAAGTAGAAGCAACCAATCTTTTTTAAAATAAAAAGCTTACAAACTAATACTAAATTATGTATCCTGTATATTATAGGTCATATATTAAAAAAATCTTGTAATTATAAGTGTTTTTATTGTGCAGATTAATTACCTAAAAAAGTAAATTCATTGATTGATGTCAAAAAGATTTAGATTCTTACCCTCTGAGTTTGTTGAAACTCAACTGAGATAAAATTAAAAAAAAACTCTAAATAAAATAAAACAGAGTTAAAATGCATCGACCTAAAGCAGTAAATTTCTTATTAATTTGAGTTGAGAATTACTTTGAGAGAAAGTTGTTTATTGTAATTACTAATTGATTAACAGTTAAAGTTTATTTGCTTATTTTAGATATTAACATCTTTTTTAAAATTTTTAATATTGTTATTACTGAGATATTAAATTTTCTGTTTTAAAATGAAATAAAAATTTATTATCAGTATTAACTTTTTTATTAATTCATTTATAGATAATTAATCTTCGTATATGCATGTTTGATCGACTTTACCAAGATTCTGTTATCATCAACAATAGGTATATTTTCAACAAGTTTAAATTTTGCTAGTTTTTTTAAAATAGTATCCAAAATAGTATCTAAATTAGTATTTAAATAATTAGCTAAATAAATATCTATATATTGTAGTATTTAAGTAAACAAGTATTTTTTGTATTTTAAATATATTTTATGAAGATGTAGATTTTTTATGTTTTTTTAATTTTAAACAAAATGCCTGGTGAGATATAGTTTTTGATTTTTGTGGTTTTGATTTAAATTTTTTTTTTGAATCAGTTAGTTTATCTCGTTTCACATCCATACTTATTTACCTACCTACCTACCTACCCGCCTACCTACCTACATACATGCATACATACATACATGCATACATACATACATACATACATACATACATACATACATACATACATACATACATACATACATACATATATACATACATGCATGCATGCATACATACATGCATTAATAAATAGTTTTGAAAATAGTAAAAGGAATAATGTTGTAAAGGAGTTTTATAAATAGTGTTAAAAACAAAAAATTATAATATTTATAAATGCATGTTTAAATAATGTCTGATGTCATATTGAAATAACCTTCTGCCGGGGGCTTCAGTACATACACTAACTATCTTACAGCCTGCTACCGCAAAAGAGTATGGCTACATTGACTGAGGGTTCGGGCTTGGGTAGCAATCTTTTCTTTCATTATCTTTGTTTTTTCTTTTTTTCTGTAAAAGCTGTATGCTATAAAGATAATCTAAACGAGTAAGCAATTGCCGATCTATATACGCTATAATAGATGTATATATTCACATATATTTACATATTAACTATTGACAACACTATTACAATTTTACTATTTGCGACACTATTCCTTTTTTTTGCTTTCGACACTATTTATTAAATTCATTTGTTACACTATTCCTTTTTTTTTTGTGACATTAACAAACATTAACAAGTACAAACCTGTCTCATTCACATTCTTATGTGCATTCTCAGTTACAGGTGTGATTATCTGTTTTAATGACCTTTTTTTATTAATTTTACAGTTTTATACTGCGCAGTTATTTATTTACTTTGTATGCAATGTTTTAACATTCAATTAGAGCATATTTATTATTGATAAAAAAGGTCTTTGAGCACATAGTAAGCTGAAGTGAATGAATCATAAAGTTGAAAGTTTCTGAGCACACTGTTTAAACAGCACACTGTTTAAAAAAAAGTAAAAGCTTTTGATTTGAAGGATTGCTGGCTTGCCAGGATGTCCAAGTAAGCTGCTGCAATGGATGCAAAGCATCTGATGTAGGCTAAGCAGTGGTGTGATAAATATGCGGAAATCATTAAGTTGGTATTATTGCATCACAAATGATAAATTTAATATCATTTTTTATAGAATAATAAAAAATCAGCGCAGGTGTTTAGGCTTGTCAAAATTTTTTTTACATTCTTTTCATGAAGAAAAGTTTCATCCTAAGTGTGTTTTTCAGACTGCTAAGTACCCTACAAAATCTGGTAGTAATCAATGGCAAGCGTACTAGGCTTCTGTATGCTGTAAAAATTATAGTGAGGCTGATCATGTCTTACATAAGGGAAGATCAGGTCTTACAAAATAGTTAATAATGCAGGTCAGAAAAATTAGAGTTGTTCATTTTTATATAAGATTGAGTTTCCTTCTACATACGGTTTGTTAAAGCTTTTTTAGAAAAGGAAAATATCTCAGTTGGATTTACTGGGTAAAAGCCCTGATATTATTATATGATATCAAAACATAACTATTAGAAAAGATTATTCATGTGTGGGATCATTCTAAAATGCAGGAGTACGGTTTTGTATTAATAGCATGCCATGCAGAACTTTTGATTGGATTAGTTTCACTTTTTTTCCAAGAACTAATAACTACAAAATTATTTTCAAGAGTTAATAAATACATATATTTTTATAACAATGATATTTTATTTGTGTTTAAAACAGGTGATAGGATGAATAATAAAAACATATGTATTGTGTTTAGTAAAAATAATAAAGCTATACAAAATACATTCAAGCTATACATATCATTTAATACTGTATAGACTTTAAATCTTACAGTCTAATAGATTGGCCAAGGAATGTAAATCAAACTAAGGCAATAAAAATAAAATAAAAAAATAGCAGAAATGCACGTAATAATATAATTATTAATTCAAGAAGAGGCCAAATGTAAGAGAGATTTTGATAATATGTGTATTTTATGTAATTTATGTTAACATGTCACTAACTTTTTATAATTTTAAAGTTCAATGTTGAAGAAAAAATAGTTTAAAGTGAAATTAATTGTTTTATTTCTTACTTACATTATTTAATCTACAATATATTAATAAAAATGTTTACCCAAACTAATTTTTTAGAGCTTCAACAACATTTCGATTACGATTTGAGATTCCAAAAGAGCTTCATGATCATTTAGATATTCTACCGAAAACAGCTTTTATTCAGCCAGAATCGCAACTTTCAGTTCAGTTAAAATTTTTACCTAGAAAGTCAATTTTAACTGATGCAAGTATGTTTTTAAAAAAAGATGTATATGAAATTCCAATTATTATCAGGATAGCTAATCAGGTAGAACCATATTTATTAACTTCCTAATTGCTTTTTTTTTGTTTTTGTTTTTTGCTCTAAATTTAACTATAAATTATTTTAGGTTCAATACATTACATTCTTGCTTCAAAGTGTTATAACCTCTTCTGATATTGAATTCAACACAAAAGAAATTGATTTTGGTTTCTGCACTATTTATGAACGAGTCAGTCATCCAGTAAAACTAATTAATACATCTATCCTTGCTCAAGAATATGGTTTTGTTGGAGTTCCTGAGGTTTTAGTGAAAAAATTATTTTATATATGCAGCTCATATACATCTATATTTGTTTACTATTTAAAGACTTTTAATAAATATATATATATATATATATATATATATATATATATATATATATATATATATATATATATATATATATATATATATATATATATATATATATATATATATATATATATATATATATATATATATATATATATATATATATATGTAAAATTTTATATATATATATATCAGGGGCGTATACAGGAAATTTTTTGGGTAAGTCCAAAAAAAAAAAATGTCCGCCTCTGCCTCCCTATTTTTTTAGAGAGGGGGAGGGGGACCGGATTTTGACCGGACTGAGTGTATTTTATAAAAATGTTTTTATTCTTTAAATGACTTGTGACATTGATAAAATGGTCACTAAAGCTCAAAATATGATATTTGCAAACTAAAAAAACTATTTTTTGAAAATACTCAGTTGTCGTAATGTATATTATATACAAATTAAAATTTTTTACAAGATTTGTAAAAACAATTTAATTAATACAAGATTTTGCTGTGTAAATTGTTTTATATAACTTTATAAGTAATATTTAATTATAAATAAACTTTATAAATTCTTAAAGTCAAAAAACTTATTGCAATAACTGTACAATGCTAAATGTTTTTACAAAGATGTCAGCTATGAAAATAGCTGTTTACCAAAAAGCAGCTCAAACATTTGAAGTTATACTTTTATCGTATTTGAGTTTTATTTAAAACACAACTCATAAGTATTTATAACAAACTTAAAAAGGTTTGTTGCTTGTAATGTTTCAGTATTATTAGGTTGAAGTTCATTTTTGAAATTCAGGCAGTTAAGTGAAATTCATCTAAACTTCCCACAGATCAAATTTAAGTATAAAGCCTTTGGTTTGGAAATAATAAATAAACCTAATAAAGCCTTTGGTTAAACAAAAGACACTAAAACATATGATTTGGTCTTCCCAACTAGTATAACAAAATATTGAACTTCTGCAATTGTTTTTAGAAGAAACTGAATATTAGAAAGAAATTAAAACCCAGGTGCTTTTAACACTTCAAAATTGTATCAATCAAACATTGTGTTAAACTCAGTAATCTATATAAAACTCAGATAGTCTAACAAGAAATAGCGATAACCAAGTTAAAATAATTTGAAATGCAATTTTTAGGCTTGTTTAAAGCATATTTGAAGGTGTTGATTAATAATATTTCTAACTATAGAGACAAAAACTTTTGATGCTTCAATAAGATTTAAACTATAAAAATTATCATTATTACTTGCTTGCAAAATTGTGTATTTAAAAAGTTATTTTAAAAACATGTCTTGTTATACATAGTGCATTAATAAAATCAAAATTTGTTTTTAACTTCAGTTGAAGCAGTGGCAGGGGCTGCACCATTATTGACATTCTTTGAGACAAAAAACCACAGGTATAAAAAACTTTCGTAAAGTATCCATGCCACAATTTCACATTTAATAACACCCAAAGAATAGGTATGTGACATGAAATTTTTAAATTTACAAAATATTATATTGTTATATATCGTTGAAAAGAGCATTAATACAGTATTTCAACGGTGAAAAAATTATCAAAATCGAACAATTCAAAAAAAAGTTATGAGGTTTTTAGTGACAATTTTTGAATATATGAAACTGTTAAAGAAACTGTGGTCAAAATAATTTTTTTTGTATCGAAAATGGTTATAACTATGCAAATTCTTGTTAAAATTTCTATAATTTGGTATTAAAAGAAAGATGTAAGAGTGGGTTACAATTTTATAGTAGCATCTTGCCATAGGGCGTGAGTGGACGGCTAGAGGGGGCCCCGAACTACGACTTTTATCACCAAAAAATTGAATATTCTATCATAAAAAAGTATTTTAATACTAAAAATTGTCTTTTTTATCAAACAGAAGTTTCAATATTTAGATCCTAGCTCACCACCATATATGAGATGTGTACCTTTGAGTTTGGGGTGAATGTGGTGGTGCTTGTTTAACACGTATTATTAACAAAAATAATTCCTTTTTTAAAAATAATATTATCTCCAATTAAATAAGTAATCTAGAACAAAAAATAAAATTTAAGTTTCACTAACCACTAGTTGTACTTTACAACTAGTGGTTAGTGGTGTATAACTCGAGTCAAGGTGAGGGGCGTACACCCACGCAACACCGCCCCTCCCCCAATCTCCTTCCAAATTTTAAAAAAAAATACTTTACTACATTACAACTTGTTAGTATGGTATACTTTTACTTGAGAGGTAAGGGCGTGCGCCCGCTTTCGCCTAACGCTTAAGCCTAAAAAGGCTGTTTGATTTTTTAACATCTAACCTAAAAAAACATGTAAAATGTTTTAAAAATAAAATATTTAAAATTATGTAATTTAGTGTAAACAAAATACCCATTGTAATTAATTAGTATCTTGGCTTTTAGTAAACAATTTGAAATTCCACTAATGAAACAAAATATTAATCATTTTTTAATGATAGACATCACAAGAAGGTAAGTCAGAGCCGTCTATCAATAATTTGTGCAAGTCACAACACTTCTGTACCAATTTTATAAGTCACACCACTTGCGATACTTTTCAAATGTTAAGACTTTTCAAGTTCTAACATTTGCAGTATCTATTTTGGACTTACCTTTCAATTATGAAAACAATACATATTAACATTAAAAACAAATAATACACATTAACATTAAAAAAAAAAAAATTCTCCTGATACAACATCTGGGGCCAGCTGGAATTTTTTCATGCAATAATTACCAGCTTCAGAATCAGATTCATCTTTTTTCCAGTAAGAGATAGTGTAAATTTTGTCATGCAATCTTTTTTTTTATTTTTTCTACTCTGCCATCGTATACTTAGATTGTTCAATATCATACCATTCATGATATAGTTTGCTACTAACAATTCTGTCAGACATAACATCATCTAAATCATCCAGTTGCTTTGTAGCAACTGGATGATAATTGTTTATACAAATTCTTAATCTGGCTGAAAGTCATTAACTTAAGTTTTTGTTATAATTTCTTTTTATCTTGTTCATCCAACATTTGATGCTTGCATGTCTGTCTCTTATATAATACAGATCGAATTTGAGCATGTTGTAGAAAATGGACCATTAATTACATTTTCTTACTTAGTTAGTAATCTAAACTATCAAGATAATAAATAGTCCATTTCTTTTTTCATCTTATTTTGCAAGAAATATAACAAGTTGTTGCATAAGAGGATCTTCCTTTACATTCACTTATTTCTTTACATTCAAGAATTATATAAAATTGTTGTATTAGGGAATCTTTCCTTAGATTCACTAAACATACCAATTAACTCTTCACTATCTATATTGTGAAACCTTGCACTAGCTGTTTCCTGCTTGAGTGTTTCTGTAATGAAAAAGGAGAAGTACCTTTTACATTGTCTAATCAATACATCCTTTACTGCATTAAGACAAGCTGAAGTCATGTTAATAACCTGGTCATCAATGCAGCATTAATATGTTATTGGTTCAAAAACGTTTGAGGGAAGCATTTCCCCCAAAAAATCTATATATGATAAGTATTAAAAAGAAAATATGAAGACGGTTTCCTCGATATCTAGGGATGATACACCTAGGTAGTTTTTTGTGGTCTTAAAAAGTAACAAATCGCTCTGGATTGCTTTCACTGTCTTTAAACCTCATCTTATTCATAGCCAAATCAATTTTGACAGCTACATAATCATTGCCAAATAATTCAAATTTTCTGTCTCTAGACACATCAACGCTGAGCGACATTCAGTAGCAATTGTATCAAGAGGGTGCAAATAAAAATTCAATAAATTCAGAGTTTTACCCCAAGTTGCACTAACTTTACTTATGGTTAGATGGTTAACTGCAACTCTGTCTGATATTGTGATGGAAATATTTTCAATACTCAATTAACAACACTCATCATAATTACGTAAATGAAAATTCGAATAAATAAAAGCTAGATGATCTACTGCCCTACAATGTAATCAATACAATGTAATCAATACAATGTAATGCCCAAAAATGTAATCATCAGCTTTTCCTCACAGGCATTGATCCAGAGCAATAAAAAGGCATTTATCTTTGGACGTAAGGTGGGCTATCAATAATTCTCACTTACTACGTAAGCTGAGAATTATTGATAGCCCATTCTGCTGCTTGTAATTCTGATATACTTCTTAATTCATGAGCCATTTGCTCAACAGTACTGTGATGGGGTACGTTATTAATAACCACACTAAAATACTGCGTAATTTTCTCTAACAAAAATGGAATATTACCTGTTAGCACATTTGACAACATACTAAAATTTTTATCCTAATGTTTAAAAAATAACACTTTACAGTTTTAGACATAACAGGAATTATAAAGACATTTTTTTTTAATTTCTTACTTGAAACAGAAAAATAAAACTACAAAAATTATACAAAAATTTTTAAATACAAATGTCACGATTAAAGACATAAATACCTTACTAGATATGGTAATATCCAAAGATTTTCAAAATCTTTCTGAGATTGTTTTGTTTACAAAAATGAATTTTTTGTTTACAAAAATCAATCTGAGATTGATTGATGAGATTAACAATGATTGTTAAACAAATATCTGCTTTTTATCTAAAAGAATATTAAGAATATAAAAGAATATTATTAGGAATATAAAAGAATATAAAAAAATATTATTTTATCTAAAAGAATAATAAATAATAAACCATAATATAGTGTATTTATATTATATACATAAATTATGATTGAATAATAAAAATAAAACAATGAAATTATTAAAATAACGACAACAATAATAATGACAGTATTATTATTACTGTTATTGTTATATACATAGTATGTAGATTCCGATTTTCTCCCCCAACCACAACAACACCCATCGCGAATTTGTGAAAACAAAATTTAGGTACCAAAACTGCTACACTTTTTAAATTATCTGCTACATATTATTTTTTCTTGA